GCAGTGTAGTTCCAGCTACTTGGAAGGCTGAGGCAGAAGGATCACCAGAGCCCAGCAGGTTGAGGCTGTGGTGGCCGAGAGTGGCCACTGCACTCCAGTCTGGGCGACAGAGTGAGACTCCAACTCAAAAAAAAAAAGTCCCATTAATGGAGCCATTCATGTCTGAATTTCTAGGTAACAGCAATATAAAATAAACATCAATATAAATTGTCTACATAAAACCAAGAGGTGCACAGGACTTTTCTTCTTGAAAAATTCAAGACTTTAAGTCATTCTGTTGTAACGCTTCTAAGTGTTGTATGAGAAATTGCAACTTTTCCAGGCCAATGATACAGATCAATTCTATTTGTTTAATGCTAAAGAGAAATATATCACTTTTAAATTGAAAAAGTACTGGATTGAGAATCTGTATAACTAGGCCTTACTGTGGACTCTGTCACTAACTGATCTTCAGCAAATCATTTAACCTCTGCAAGTTAAACTCTGGTCTCCAAGGACTGACTCTGTTCTGTGGTTGAACAGGATGAACAGGATGAACTTGCAATTAAATGATACGCCCCTAGATGGTGGTGTTGTTCTGAGTCAGGCTCTGAATTTCTTTTCCCCTTCTATAATTACAGCGAAGTAAAAAGGCATAGGTTAGAAAATGATTTCCTATTGGTTCTAGAGGGAAAAAAAAATTACTGTTAAGAACTCATTCAGTGGCATTCAAAATTATATTAAATCATGAATCACATGACCCATTTGCATTTAACATTAATGAAAAGGAATAAACCATGACTGAGTATACCAAAGCCAACATATTCCCTTATAATTTGTCCATATATCCAAAACTATTTTATTTAGGTATATTTATCTAAGCTTAAGAAACTCACTAAAAACTAAACAATGGTTGTTAAGAGTATTGATTTACAACCCTGTAGAAATTTTTTTTTTCAAATTTCAGTTCTAATAATAAATTTTGATAAATATGCTCATTTCTTTAATTCTGAATGTTACATACTATATTCACGACCTGTGATTTCTATGAGCACAATGACAGATCCAGGCCATCACCCCCACCCCCAGCCATGTAAACAAGGGCATCTTTTAGAGAGATATGCTGTCTTTCAGTGTTCAAAAGGATAGGATATTAAATGGCTTTTTTAACCCACTGAAGAGATTCTAGTTTAAGGAGGCTCTGATGAACAATGTCAGGCTTTAACCTAAAATTCCTGAAAGGAAACAGAATGCGTTCCTGTCTCTCCACTCTGAAATTCAGTGAGTATAAAAAATTAAGCTGCCAGGCTCAGTGGCTCAGCCTGTAATCCCACGCCTTTGGGAGGCTGAGGTGAGTGGATTGCCTGAGCCC